AGAATGAATGAGAATGGAGGAAGAGAAAGAAAGGAAGGAGAAGGGAGGAAGAAAAAGAAGGAAGAAGTGAGGAAAAGCAGTGGCCAAACAGTGGTGATGGTGTTGCTGCCGGCGCCGGTGCTGGAGAAGACATGGGAACAGTGAAGAGTCGAAGAAGAGGAGAACCGCTGGTTGGAGTTAGGGAAGAAGATAATGGATGACGAAGATGAAACGGAGTTAAGTGTATTAACGGAAATAACGGAAATTTAAGTCAGGTGTAATGGAGGGTGTCGACAGTTTGGGTAAACTTATCATTTTCCAATTTATTAACTATTCAATTAAATTTGTTCAATTGGTATCAACACTTAATTAATATCAATTTTCATATTTTTTACTTTATCTATTTCAAAATAATTGTCCTTATTTTATTTTGAACTTATCTCAAAGTGTTTTTCAATTTTACATTTTTCAACGTAAATAAATATTTTTTTTCTACTTTAATTTTATTGTTATCCATTCAATTTAATTAACTATCCAATCAAAAAAAGTTTATCTTTATCTTTTATATTTTAAAAGCATTATAAATAAATAAAATTATTGTTTTTAAATTTTTAATTTAAAAAAATTCAAAAAACAATAATTATTTTAAACAAAGGGAGCATATACATTTATGACAAACTTTAACATGTGGTCAAAAGTATAAGCCAAAAAAACCTTAATTAAAAGCTATTTTCACATCTAACAATTTTATTTGTATTGTAAAATATTGATAATTGAAGTTGTTTTCTCATTGATATAAAAAACTGTCATATATCCTCATAGCAACAGTTTAAATCTATGATTTCCCCTCCCTCTCTCTTTTGCCTACTTGAACCACTTGCTCTAGTCCATAAAATAAACATTATTTTATTTTATTTTACAATTTGATTCAGACTTGATATAAAATTCTTTAATTTTTATCCACTATATTTTTTTTTTTTGGTGACAAAGATCTGTCCGTCGGCATACTTCAAAAATTGAAAAATAGTTCAAATAGAAATTCAGTTTTTAATTTTTTTTAATTAAGTTATTATGCTACCATGTAAATAACAAAATTTTGTATAGTAGTAGTGCAGTGAGTACTCCCTTTGGTTTTTAACTTTTCATTTTGAGATTGTTTGGTGATAGTCATAGATGCACGTTACTGATAAGTTTTTTGATGTTGCTACATTACTGATAAATTAAAGTTACAATAACTCTCCTTAGGATTTCTCCTCTCTAGGGTTTCTCCCGTGTACTACTTCTAGGGTTAAGAGCAATGATAGAAGGTTTTTCTCCTTAGGGTTTTTCTTCGGCATGGGAGTTCCTTATCCCTCCTTTCTTCTTACCCCTCCCTTTCTCCTTTTGATCTCCTCCTTCCTCTTGTCACTGTCTTGCTTTGGAAACTCCAACCCAAGGGACCACAAGGCAACGACTTTTTGGATTTTTTAGGGTTTACATCTGTTAACTTTTGAAGGCTGCGATTAGAATTGATCTTGCTAGTGAAGTGGGTTCTGCTCTTTAATGGGCAAGAATCTCACCTTGGTGCATCTCCTCGGATGGGATCTTCGCAGGGGTCGAATTCAGAGAATCTAGTTCACACCAGTTCTTGATCAGCTAGTTGATTGCTGAAGGAAAGGGATGCTATTGGTAAGGCCGGCTATGGTATATGTGGGAAGCATAATTTTCAAGCTGGCAAAGGGGCTCTAGTTCCTTTAATGAGTTTCAACAGCATGGGTTTGAAGAGGATCGACAAAGATGGGAACATGATTGGGAGAATATGGAGGCGATTGGGGAGCCTTGTGCTTGTCAGGAAAAGACCCGTACCCCTCTTGGTTGTCCTTCTTTAAGAACAAGTAGGGCGACAACTTGTGAGTTGGGCCGGAATCCTTTGCTCTGTCTAAGAAGCTTGTTAAACAGGTGAGGATGTTTAGTAGTTCTTAATGCCATAGTGACTCCTCTTTCTACATTAGTAGCCCTATTTAGCACATACAACAATTGTAAATTCAATCCCTAGTTGCAATGGCTCTCTTTGCTTAATTTTCTATATCCGTCATGGGTATAGTTTAAGTTTGTTATCAATGCTGTAGGTTATGCTTCTGATATTGTCCTTAGGTTATTTTGATTTTGGCTATATGTCATAAGATGGAGATTATGTTGTAATTTTTTATTATTTAATATATTTCTCTATTTCTCATAAAAAAAAAGTTACAATAACTAAGTGTGTAAACATGACGTAGCCAAAAATTCAACTTAAGGGGCAAAAATTAAAATTTTTGTGAGTTATTTATTAGTTTATATTAATATAATTTATATTAATTTTTATGTCGTTATTAATTTTGTGCATGTATCACTTAAGTTATGTATGTAAAATTTTAAATGAATTAGATATAAATAGCTTTATCAAGAAAATTAGATATGTTTAGTTATTTTTGAATGATATATACTTTAATACTATTAAATAAATAGTATAAAAACATAGTTTATTTTTTTTGAATGGTTATCTATATTAAAACAACTTTAAATTTACAATGTATGATTTATGTGAATATAATAAATTCAACTATTATTTTCATAGAATATAAATTATATAAAAAAAATTATATATAACTAATGTAAATACTTGTATAAGTTACATCAATGTAATTAATTAGATATTGATTATTTTTTAATTTTTTTTACCTAGACCAAATTATCATATTTTAAAAATTAATCATCAAAAAGAAATGATTCTTTTATCTAAATCCAAAATATTTCTCTTGTATTTAAAATCGTCCCAATAATTCAAAACTCAAAAAACAAAGTTTTGTTGAAAATAAAAATTAATGTATCATATTTAAAAATTTTCAAAAGCTTAGGGGGGCAGCTGCCCCCTTGTCCGACATTGATTCCGTCTCTGCGTAAATATCACATTTATTCGTTTAAAGGTAATTTTTTCAAAATTAATGAAAATAATATTATTAGTTGATTTATTCATTCATTTATTTATAGTATCATGTTGTATAATTAATTTTTAATTTAAAAATTTACTTATAATATTTATATATTTATATTTATTTAATACCACAATATATTTTTTTAATTACATGTCATCCTTTCATACTTTTAATTATACCGCTGCAGCAAATCAACTGACTGTAAAATCAACTTAAAGTTTGAAGATGTTACTGGAACAAAAGCATTTTATGCAGTATTTTTTTTATTCCAACCGATATTAACTGACACAGAGAAATTTAACCGCCACATGGCCCACATCCCACGACGTGTCACCTATCAATTTGACGGTTGGCCGCCAAAATCTGACACTTCTGCTTCATTAGACTCTACTTTATGCCCTTTTATTTTTACCGGATTAAAATGGGGTTTACGGTTAATCGTCTGTGACGGTGAGGAATAACGATAACAGTCTGAACTTATCGACATGCCACGTGGAAGAAGGAGAACTACAGTGGAAAATCTTGTGACAGGTGTGCTTCTGTTAAGCGCAGACAGCTTATAATCAAGTTATCAAAAGAACATACATGACCTCTAATTATTAAAGGTTAGTATTTAAAAAAAGTTATCAAAAACCATTATTTCCGTACGCTTTAAAATTCTTTTCAATATTCTGCAATTTTAATTTTAAAAAAGTTAAAAAAATTAATATTTATTAATCAAAATTTTAAAAAGTTAAGAAAAAATATTTAAATTTACTAAAGTTTATTAAAATACAAACATGCATACCTTCGAATTTAGCAAGACAATCATGCATAATCATTCCATGATGAGGAAGTAACATCTTCATCAATTTTGCAACAAGGTTAAATACCCTAAGTGCCAAAGAGCACAAAGGCTTTACCTTTGGAGGATTCCTTAATGGTTTGAATAGTAGAGGTAGCAAAAGCTTACAAAGGTGAAACATGAGCCTTCAATTCAGAATCAAAGCTTTTCAGAATAGTTTTTCAAAGACAGCTCGTTCAATAATAGCCAAACAATACTAAATTCCCATTTATTTAGAGAACCCCATAGATGACTATTACCAACCTTTTTCTTTTTGCAAAAGATTATAATGTCATCTATAGGTTTATCATCAAATCTTCTATGAAAGTCGGGGACTTAAGTGTCCAAAAGCATTTGATTTATGCAAATATTTGGGTTCTTAGTTCTTGTAGCTCCAATTTTGCTGTTCTTCTTGTATTAGCAAGTTTAGACGCTTTTCTCAAATTAAACATCCCCTTAAGAGGAAAGCTAGTGAAGAAA